TTTTCTCTTTCCCGACGCTTCCCACCTATACCCGTTCCTTACACTCCCGCTATTACTATCACTACCATCCTAAACCCCCTCCCTCTCTCCTAACCCCCACCCGTTAATCCCCCCTTCCTCTCTACCTATTTTCAATATTTCTAGTCCGCTAGTGTTAAATTATTTTTTGCAGTGATAACGTTTTATTTATTTTTTCGTATCTATATTTATACAAAAATAGTATGCCTTGCTCATTTGTATGTTTATATGAATAACTTTAGTATTTTTTTATGTATAAAGTGTTATATTCGTTTTATAGTGCGAATGACCTCACTCATGGTTGTTCAGGTGAAATCAAGTCAGGTCCTATAACATTGTGATTTTATCATTATCCCGTTATCAACGTATTTACGACAGAGTGATGAATTTACTTCCGGTTTGCATGAATATATCGGGAACTATAATAATACTAGCATAATTCAACGAATTGTTTTTACATTATTATTATAGTATATTTGTGTATATTCCGAAGTATATTTCGATAATTATTCGCCTTCTTTATAGATATATTTTTTTCTTTAATTATTCATGTTCATTTATCTGTAATTTGATTATTGTGTACTTGTTTTTCACAATATTATTTAGTCTCGTATATACTAGCTCTTGCTATTTTAACGTATATTTGGTTAATGACCTCACTTGACCTTACTCAGGTAAAAATACCCCTCCCCACCATCTGACTTCGCCCAACTTAAATTTACATTCAAGCTATTTGTATTTATATCTTATTAAGCTATCTCCGTGTTAGAGATTGATTATATTATACAGCTACTACGATTTCATATTGTTCCTGATTTTCGTTTATCTTAATCACGAACCTCACCTCATCATTATTACATGGTCCTTGGTGACGACCCCCAGCTGGGTATGGACATGTAATTAGGTTAAGATAATTAATGTTGTTGTTGTTCTGTACGTGCAAAGATGCACACATCGCAAGAGGCGATCTACGCGCCGCGCCGCGCATTCTTATCGCTATACGTGAGATTATCGCTGGTATTCCCAACAAGACGGGATGCCCAATTTGCGTTCTGCGTATGAGCTGGATGATGTGTCCCTTCTACGGTTGGGTCATCACGTCATCACCTTCCTCAGGGAATTTATTTTAAGCATCATTTACAACCACGAGGGTTGTCTTTCGGGTCAGTTGTCTCAGGGAAGCTGACCCAAACCAGTCACCGTTTCATTCATTTTACTTACTAATTAAAGTACCATTTTTATGATTTCACATAGTAGTTGATTAATATTGCAATTAACGTAAGTTCATTGTTATTAGTGTGAATGTTTTTTTTTTTTTTTGTGCAGTCAGATTGGTGACTATTTTCATTAAGCGCAATCCACATTGCCACCCCAGCCTACATACCTAACCCCAACCCCCATCCTCACCCATACCTCTTTTACACCCCACCCCATCCTTCCCTCAGCCTCCCGCCCACCCACTCCTCCTCCCCTTCGCTTATTTCTTCCAACTTCCACGCCATCCTATTCCTTTCTTACCCACTCTCGCCCTTACTTTAACACATTACTAATGACTCAAAAAGCTAAAATATATCTATCAACATTCTATTTTCTTCTCGTATGCTATACTCTGACTACTCATTTCATAACTCCCCATTAAATCAATCAACTCGTCTACGCACTCACGCAGCCACATGCGCACATCGTCCCGCAGAAACCCGTTAATTGCACAAGAATTACATGCGTACTGTCTCCGGATGGTAATCGACTTGCGCCAACCGTGTATTCTTATCTTGCATTACGTTTTTCCGTGCAAATGTTGTCTTGAGGAAGTATATTTTGATGTAATGAGTCGCTCCCGAAGTATGAGGACTGCATTACTTGTTTTCATTATTGCTTTGCCTCAAATAGTTATTGGTGACGTGTGATAGACTAGACAACTTCGTTGAATTGATACATTTACTATTAGTCAGACGTATACCGTATGCACTATTGCACTGCACACTTCTGAACTCTGCATTGTTGCATTTTTTTCTTTTTTCCAAGGAAGTTCGTCGTTCAAGACAAGTCCTTGCGGACTGCGACACCTTTTGCTTCCTTTGTAGTTTTGCACAATGCTAATCTCTTGTAGATTTTCATTTCCTGCTATCTGAGACAATTGCAACTCAAGCAAGTCTTCGCGGACTATTGTAATTGTCTCCCTAAGCATGTTCCTCTGTCTATCTTTGGACAGTGAATTATTGAAAAAATATAATAAAAATTGAAAATTCATGAAAATATTTGTAATAACAATCTTTGCAATCTGATATATCTTGATTATATTATCTTGATTACGGCCCCTGCTATAACACAACCCCCCCCCCCTGTTTGCCCTCTTGTTTCTCGCCCTGTCTCTGCCTCTGGTGTGCTTTTTTTCAGAGCCAGCTTCATCCCGTCGGGGGCGACGGTTAGTAGCGTATGCCGAGCGATCTGAGGAACAAGGGTTTCCTTTCCGCGTCTCCAC